ACCTAAACACAAAACTACATCAGAAAAATCTGTTATGAAATTTGACAAGAAAATAAGTAGTGTTTCAAATCTAATTCCCTGATTCATGTTGGACAGTGAAGCATATATTTCTTTTGCACTGCCTGTTGCAATAATGGAGTCAAGCTGGGCCAGTTAAGTGAGGGAGCATGAATTTCGGAGTAAAATGGCCAATGCTTTGTAAGCATCACATCTGCTGTTACTACACTGGACAGCAGTGCTAGTTGTCGCTCACAATATGCAGATCAATAATCAAAGTTCATTAATTGATCACCACAAAACTTATGTGGGCACTAACAGGACACAATCAAAACATTGTTCCAATGAAACAGGCACCAATTAATATAATGATGAAGATGATGACTGATTGGGTATGTATTTTGAGGTATGTGCATAATTAAAGTTAAAAGGTCAATTAACGTACAATGTGTTTCCATTACAAGCTACATATTTCTAGAATTCGTGAGAAAACAGCATAGTTATAGTTGCAATGTGTTTTGATATGGCTGATTCTATGGTCACATTAAAAATGAAAAATCAGGTGTCAAAACTGACAGCAATAACCATGTGAACATTGCGTTTCAATGATCCAGGGGTTTGGGATATTTACAGATACTGAGGCCAGATGCAGTCATGACCTAAGCTCATCTGACATTCAGTGCTCAAAGACCAGGCTGCCAGTAGTCTGTTAGTATAAGCCTGTTAAAAACATTGAGGGAGAGAAGATATGATAACTATTTGTCCTAAATGGACATGACAAACGGTGTTTCAAAGTAAACCTGGTCAGGTGAGCACAAACTTCAAAATATTGCGCTAATATCATAGTTTATTTACTATATAATCTAATAGTTCATTCTGTATTTATGGGGTGAATGTTAAGGAAACAGATATGACAATAATCTCAAGTATTTTGAGAAACATTGTAGATATATGTGAGCAAGGCATACACTTTATGCTCATTTCTTACTTCCATTTATTTCATGATTTAAAACAATAATTATTGATCTCTATGACCTATATAGTATTGAATACCATGATTTAACACAGATTGATAATGGCAGAAATTGCAAAAGTGGATGATATTCTACAGATATTCACATTCATCACAAAAATGTAAATTTTCAAGTAAAATTGATATTTTTATACTTATCCTGACTCATGATCTTTTGCTTATCTACCCTTTCCTTGCGAATGGTAGTGGAATACTTGAATCCCTTGAAGTTCCCGAAGCGGACGTAAAAATACACTCGCCCACGAGTTACCTCCCTTTTCCCGCGTAAACAGTCATGTGACCAGACTTACTTGTCACGCTCTCCTGATTGGTCTGCCCAAGCACATGGATCTGCTGTGCAATCCGAAGTGTTTCCAGTGGGGAGGTCGGGAGGGCTTGACCTCAGGAGCCAGGATAAGTATAAAAATATCAATTTTACTTGATAAATTACATATTTTTTCTTATCCTGACTCATGATCTTTTGCTTATATAAAAATATAAATAAATGATTGAATAAATTATTGTAGCATAAAGTGAGCCTTCTGATTGGGTTTATCTTCCACTATAAAGAAGCATGTGTTGTTTTATCAGCAAAAAGAAAGCATATCTAAAACACTGAATTAGTCTAATGTGGCAGAAAATGTGTGATCACGAAATTGATGTAACAGAAACTTCATTCATGGCCACAGATAATTCACAATTACAAAAATGGAAATGACGGGACATGTCACATAATTTGTAAAATCTTGTTCAGGAATTGCAATTGGACATTTCTATTAATGCATCTGTCGCTTCTAAAGATCACCTGAATGATTGAAGCAATAATTCAAGGCGATTTAAACTCAAAATAAAACTTACATTTTTCGTCTCTCAACTGTTCCATGTCAGGACAATGTTGACTAGAACATCGTAAGTGGTCAAGTGAGATGTGGTGACATATGTGTAATGTCCCATGCTTACAATTCCATCATGAAGCGTACAAGTTTTGCGTGAATATACTTATAATAGACTTGTGCTGAATTAGTTCCCTTTGGTTTAAAATCTCCTGGCATAAATAATGCTGTAAGTGTAAGGCCAACCTATCATACCGTCCTTCTTCGTACAGTATTCTCTATCCTTAGATTTACTTCAATATCCTGGAAACATATAGTTCAGTAAAACCAAATCTAATGAATCCACTTATTGGATTAAAATAGCCATGAATCGTCACTTGAACAGGGATGTAAAACTAGTTTATTCCTCAGGCCTGTGGTGTTCATTCACATTATATTGTGTTACATGAGACAACACTTTACATTTTTAAGTCAGCTTATGATTGACAGATTGTCATCACTATCTGCAACAATGTGTAGATCACTTTCATCATCAAAATCATCATGAACATTGACTAAATTGTCTTCTTATGAAAATAATTGCTTCTGTACAGAATATGTGAGTTGAGCATTTTGAATGGGACTTTGTATTATCCGTTTGTATGTGTTCCATTTAGAGAGGTAATGATATTGTGACCTGCTATCACATGCAGGTACTCATTAACAAAAGTGTCTCAGGTGTTAATCAACTGTGTGCCCCCCAGCTGTATCCGCCCCTGAATACCACAAACTAAAGCTATAATTATCACTTTATATTATTATAAGACGTATCAATGCAAAGACTGTGACAAAATCACAAAGACTCTTTCAGAAATTACGAAGTTTCTGTCGCAAAAATCTCAAAGACTCCACTCTCACTGTAACTACACTGTAAGTTTTCTTCCAGTGGCAATTCATTATTGCAATATAAGCAATCATGGCTAGCGTCATGGAGTCACGGAACAAATATTTCACGACACAACACTTGATATATCATAGGTCAAGGGAAAAGATATACTGACTGTACTGTCCATGCACCAGCGTGAACGAAGGCTATGCCTGTCTCTAAGTGTAATAGTGTATATAGTTCGGTTTTCGATCGTCAGGATAAAGCGTCAACAATTTTTACCAGCAACAGAACGCGACCGCACTCGTTTGGAAAGGTATGTGAGCATGGCGATAGCCCCACATCTACTGCCATCTTTCATACTTCTGAATCAAACATGAAAACTTCAAACTAACCTGTCTTGTCCCGTGCTTTCGTTCACGCATCGTGTACTGTATTTCCCGCGGCCTGAATATTGCGCAAGTTGAAACTGAAGCCGTCACTTGCTGCTGTGTAACCCGGTTGGGGTCCTCATTTGACGTCCCTTACAAACACACACACCATCCCTGGTGGATAATTATCTGATATGACTCATTTTAAATTTTGTTTTAAAAATTATGTGCTCTCTCTCACCACCGCACCCATATGTTGCAAGTTCTCATTTGTCCATGCAAACCCCCATCCTAATCCCTCCACACACACTCACACCACAACACACCCGTCTCGGGAAATAGATGACTTGGCCCTACTGAGTAACAGTGACAGTGGCGGTGAAAATATATCTCTGATCGAAAATAGGATATGAGCGCAAATTATGACGTACATTTTCATCAACTATTGCTTTATATAGCTAGCTACTGGAGTGTTTATGTTGCTCCAAAACAACTACATCTTAAAACTCACCTGCAACCAACGTCGCGTCCGGAATGCAACTCTCTCGGTCTCAGTCCCAAGTTGTCATTTCGGCCTCTGTGTTTGTTTGGAATGTCGAAAGGAATGCCCGATATATAGCATCCTCATAAAGTTTAAGTTTTGCCTATTCGTATCCATATTTCGCCAGAGGTTAGGTCTCTTTCATAGCACTTCTTCGAAAAGTGTAACGAACACAGATGACCGTGCGTGAAGGGGTTCACAAAATCCGCACGACGACTGTCAACAATCTTTGCCCTTCCTTTTGTCAAATAGAATTTTTCAGGAAATGTATCGATAAATCCGTGTTGTTTACGCAATTGGATAATCATCAAAACTTGAAGTGCAGTTGTCAGTTTCCAATACATAATCACAACAACGCTTCATTCAAAATATTGCGCTTCGTGTCACTTTCAACTCCATGGCGTATACACTACTGAAATGTCAACACTCTGAGCGGACTCTCGGGTATGACGTCACACCCACAGACGTCAGACCGCTAAAAATAAAAATATGCATACGAGTGGGCGGGGCTAAAGTGGTTTTAGTTTTGGTGCATATTTATATTTTTTACGACTATTTTTCGTAAATGGATGGTGCAGATGTGGTGTATATTCATGTTTGAATGGCATCATGTAATAAAAATGCATAGTGTTTAACCTTTTTAAAAATTCTTTAACAATGTAACGGCGAATTGAAATAAAAATATGTGCAAATATGTCCACATTATATATGCCTTGTGGCCTACATACTGAATAAAGGACTTGACGCGATTAGGCTGACACGACGGGATGTAACTTGAATAATGCGGCGTTAAAAGTAAGTCTCTCGTGAAAGAAAAATATGCATACACTTCACGTTGATATGCCAACAACGTTTGTCACGTATCATGAGAAATGGTTGCATGAAATATACATGTGCACTGGAACCATTGCCATCTTTTATGGTCTTACTTCATAATACACTACCCCATGAGCATGAAACTATAATGCCTGACCATGTTCCATTTCAAGTACCCGTGAAGATCCGGTTTAGAATTGATCTTCAGTAACCCATGCTTGTCGTAAGAGGCAACTAACGGGATCGGATGTCAGTCTCGCTGACTTGGTTGACACATGTCATCGTATCCCAATTGCGTAGATCGATGCTCATGCTGTTGATCATGGGTTGTGTGGTCCAGAGTCGATTATTTACAGACCGCCGCTATATACCTGGAATATTGCTGACTGTGGCGTAAAACTAAATTCACTCACCCACTCACCCTATTCCAAGTTTAGGACTAGATGATTTTTAATTATTCATAACTTGTTTCAGCTGCGGACAATAAACAAATCTACTCTTGCATTTTAAAACCATAACAGAGGAACATTAAAAGAAACCAATTTGCTTTACGTTTGTCTTTTAGGCGAGTGTTGGTTCGATCCTAGAGACAACACCCTAGCTACAGCTCAGACAATAACCATTGAAGACGTTGTGGTTGAAAGCGAGGCTGACTGTGCTACTTCCTGTCGTAACGGATGGATCAATGACACGGAATGCTGGGGCTTTTCTTACCGATCCTCGGACAACACGTGCAGGGTTCACTACCACACTGAGTCAGCCATCTTCATCAGCAATACTACCAACATCTTTCAAGACAACACGAACTGGACGTTCTATGCGAAGATATGCGTTGGGGGTGAGTTCCAGAGTTTGCCGACCAGGGCCCCGTTTCACAAAGCTCTCCTAGCGCTACGACTACCGTAAGTCATTGTTACAGTATAGGAAGTACGAATGCTACGAGAAAAGTTACGAGATCTTAGGCTTACGAGAGCTTTGTGAAACGGGGCCCAGGGTTGTATTCGGTCAGCCATCTGTTTAAAGGCTGACACTGATGATTCTTGGTTAGTTTCTGCGATACAGCTGGAATACTACGTCTGGCGATACTAAATACACGAATTTTGGACGTGCCTGAAAAAACCCTGTTTGACGGTGGCAAAATGAAACATACAAGAAATAGATTTTCTGGGTCTAAATGGAAGAAAACATTAACATGTTTCGTTTGAACATGGTCACAGATGCCATCATTCAGCCTAAATATTTTGTCAAATCCAATTTACAAGTGCATACTTCCTTTCCGTCCAGATTGGGTTCATATTCGTCTCTTTCGTGTTGGCTGTATACGTTGAATAATGATCATACCATATCAAGAGATTCGAACACATCAGTATGGATTTCTGGCATGCCTACGTGATCCACCATCCATGCCTACCCACATCTTGAGGATAATAGACATTTTGCATAATGTCCATCAATGAAATTGATCGAAATATATTGCTGTTGTAATTGGATCTAGTTCAAACTTATGTCAATTAAGTTACCGTGTGTGATTGCCTGTGGTTAGTGTGTTGTGCTGCCCAAATGGGTTCTTAAGTGTCTCTGTGACATGAGTTAATTAAATATTGCTACAAGCGGTGTAAAATCTCGCTCACATATCGTTATGGTGTTCAATATTTAATAACTAATTCAAGCATTATGTGTTGTATTATTATTTAGGTAAGTCGCAATGCGTTTTTAGAATGGCATGCTTGTTTAGAATTTCGGCTGAAGAAAATACATCTTAATAAGCTTACAGGATATATCTTGCAATGGTTCAGTTATTAAAGTTACTAAACGAATAATGTATTTAACATGTTGCAGGGTTGTTACGAACTGTGAACGTCAACTACATCGACAATGACATTGAACCCCGGGTCCGCAACTGCACCGATCTCGTCACCACAGATGAAGGTAAGTGGAAGCCTATTCAGTAATCTCTATTGACTGATTACACAAAGGCCAAGTCTCTACCATAAATGCAAACCAATGGAATATTTCGTATAGCAAATGCAGTCGATTGAACTGTACATCAAATTTCGGCACCGCATTTTTCCTTAACCTCAGTGAAGGTCAGTGGTTGTCCGACGGTCGTTAGGGTGTTCGATTAGATATGGACATTTGTTTGGTCGTAGGGAGGGAATTTCGTCAAATATAGAACCGCGTTGGCCTATGATTGTTAGGGTGTTCGATAAGACATGACATTTGTTTAGTAGTAGTGAGGGAATTTTGTGAAATAATGAAACAAGTTGGCCTACGGTCGTTTGGGTGTTCGATAAGACATGACATTTGTTTAGTTGTAGGGAGGGAATTTCGTGAAATATAGAAACACGTTGGCCTACGATTGTTAGTGTGTTCGATAAGACATGACATTTGTTTGGTAGTAGGGGAGGAATTTCGTGAAATAATTAAACACGTTGGCCTACGGTTGTTAGGGTGTTCGATAAGACATGGACATTTGTTTAATAGTAGTGAGAGAGTTTCGTGAATTATAGAAACACGTTGGCCTACGGTTGTTAGGGTGTTCGATGAGACATGGACATTTGTTTGGTAACAGGGAGGGAATAACCCGTATGCTTAGTTTGAAGTAACACACATGTCATCTGAACATTTTAGCATCTTGATGGGACACGACGGTCATGTGTCCAATAGAAAGACATTACACGGAAAATTGGAAAAGGTGAAAGTCATGAGCTGAATATCTGTTGAACAAGCGGGTAAAAGAGTCTTCGTGTACAAGGTGTTTAATGTTACGTGGGGGATAGCCCAATAAAGTTTTTTAAAGTTACAGAGTTTTAGATATTCCAACGTGCCTCCAGACAAACTGTTGTATGATAACTGTTCGCTCAAGTTTCAAATGAGTGTCCAAGGAAAAATAAATGTTGTCTTCACATTTGAACATTTGTTCTTCAGTGTTAGACGACGCCATGTGCTACTGTGAATGTAGCGACCCTCCGCCAATGTGGGAACCCACTATCTCATCACTGTCCTTGAAACAGAAGATAGAACAGATAGTCGCCGCACTCGCTATCGACAGCAAGAACACTTCCGCCGCACAACGGAAGTTGATCAGTGTGATGGACGGGCGCCCAAGTGCGCAGAGCATTGGTTACATTGGAGTAGTGTTCCTGTCTATTGTGTTCGGGAGCATAATCATACTCGACCTAAACGTTCTTGTGTCACACACTAACAATCTCATCAAAAGCCTCAAACGCACGGGTTCTTCGGATGCTTAGCGAAGGAAACCAATAGGTGGTTTACAATTTTGTAATGCATTTGAATAGTTTGACCATCCTTTTTTTTTAGAAAAATGGTAAGAAAAGGATAAAATATACAATATTTATTTTACTTTATAAAAAAAAAATATGAAAAGAAACGGATTGTATGCAATCGGAATCGTCTTTAGATTTTCAGCTACACATTGGAACAATTGTCTGTTTCCTTCCAGTCTTTGTGTATATTTTGCATATGATATTTCACCCTCACACCCGCGTGTACAACTGTTGTGTTTGACGAAAATGCAATATATATGCATTTAACCTTTGAATGCAGGTGTGTTCAACTGAAGAATATTTTCAATTTGATTTCAGTCTGATGTTGTCATATGAAATGCGTTATATGATGCTTGAAAGTAAATGTTCTTGTCTATTTTGTCTGGGGTATGTAAGCTGTTTCTGCAAAGGTGATGCCGAATTTCTCACATCTCCAGCGAATAATTGATATAATCTCACAACAAAGTGAGGTTTCTAGGTCACCTCCATCCCACACACTCCAGCCTACCACAAAGGCTCAGTGATAATCTAATCGCGCATGAAGGAATTTACCCTTAATGTTCGCATTTCTGAAATTACTTCTGGTAATCTTCATTATTACAACGAGACGTTTCAACACCAATGTACTTGTAACGTGATTTGTTCTTAATCACTTGTTGTCCAGTTAAATAACATGTTGAGTGTTGCTTTTTGTAACAGTGACTGAACGATTTTTGAAAATGGGAAATTAATTTGTAATCATGTTCGCTTGTTGGACATATTTATTCGACCAATAAACGTTTTATAATTGTTGTATTTCTGTCATTCATATATGCTGATATACTAAGATAATGTATGCCTTAATGTGAATTCAGACAAGTAAATAAAAGCCATAGCCACAAGAAATCTCGGCTGAGAGCAGAGTTGGTTGTACGTTTACAATTGTGTCCTGTGTAATCCTGTGTTTATGACACCCGGTGTTCAAGAAACGGTGTGTATAACCTGCGTCACCACTGACAGCCATCACATGCAAAGCCAAGCTAGACGTTCACCTAAAACAGGCAGGTGAGTGAGTGAGTTTTGTTTTTACGCCGCTTTTAGCAATATTTCAGCAATATCACGGCGGGGACACTAGAAATGGGCTTCACACATTGCACCCATGTGGGGAATCGAAGCCGGGTCTTGGGCGAGATGAGCGAACGCTTTTACCATTAGACTACCACACCGCCCCTATACAGGCAGGTACACATGATGCAAGACAAAATAGGGAACAGCATAATTAATGTCAATAACATCATTTAATGCGTCACATTGAATGTACGTGTGCGTGAGTGTGTTGATCTCGTCGCTATATGCTGAAATAAAGACGACCTTAACTTGGAACTGACTCATTCTCATTTAGACCTTAACTCGAGATGGGCACTCCGGCGTGTGGAGCACCCCTTTAAGTCATTAGATATATTATGTAGGGCGAAAATCGGAACCTGCAAAAGTCTTCCGGCAGGATACTCAAAGAGAACGTGCTGAAACCCAGTCTAGTCAAAACATCAATACGTAACACTGAAAGGCATGCCAGTATATGATGTATTGATTAAGTGTTCATGCCAATATCGGGGTGTGGAGGGAGGAGGAATTCGATGCTGGTTACTGTACCTTAATGTTCTCAGTCTCATTCAAATCTCAGATACCAATAACATCCTGACATTTGTATAGAACCAATTAATAAATTTTATTGAACAAAACGGTCGATTAAAATTGCTTTGGAAATGGGAATGGTCGAACACTGTAAATAAAAACAAGAACACACAATTGAATGCCAATTCTCTATGATCAATGAAACATGCTTGCCGACAAACGATGGATGCCTTGTCAATTCTCGTGGCAAGAGTAAAATGGTATTGATTAAATTTATTTTTATTTTCTGTCAAAACGAGAAGAATAGGAAAGAATGACATTTCAAAGTTATAACCATACGGATTACAACGAAGGCACAAGCATCATCTAATTACTTGTAAATGTGAATGCGATTATGGATACCCAAATGACAGCAGATAATGAAGATTTTGGAAAACAATTGAATTCACGTGGTTTTGCCATCTTTTGCTTCATATATACTTAGAGGCAAGAGCCACATTGGTAATCTTTGGAACCAGAAATAGCGTGTGTTAAAATGGTCGAAGACACGCAACCAGGCTGTTCTTATTCGGATTGCAAGAAATTTGCAAGACGCATGACCTACTCGAGACAAATGCTTTACTACGTTCTTTTTTCAAAACAAGACAACCGGAGTATTTTCCAGTCAATACAGTCTTAAGAAAAGCAGAAAACCAAAACCGTTGATCCGACTTTATCCTCTCCGTGATGGTAATGTTGTTGTGGTCGTAGTGTTGATTGTAATTTGTTCCTGTATGTAAATCAGTCCTGCGTACCAGCAGACGATTACACAGGAAATAAGGCGGATAAGGATTTTGTATAAAGGTAGGCTTATAATGTGTTAACATATACCTGTCTTCTTATTCCTATTGCATCATGTCTAATTAAAGAATATTATAAGTTGTATGCTTCTCTCGAGGGTAATACGGTCTGATGTACGCCTCTTTGTAGCAGTGTCACCCGAGCCGGAAGGCGAGGAATGACACTGCTACAAAAAGCGTATTACTCGAGGGAGAAGCATACAACGTATTTATCTTACCGCCATGTTAAATGTACAAAATATCATTTTATTTTATTTTAAAGATCGATACCGACTATATGACATGTAAACAAAATGGCGTCTGCCTCTCGACTGGACTTTTTAAATCAGTGAAACATATTCTGACAAACTTACCACTGCTATAAAAATGGTTAATTATGTTTAAGTTGAGTGTGCAAACGACCTTATGTATAAAATAGTTTAAATAAAGCAGTGAAAGTCTGTAAAATAAATCTGTACATATTGAACTCAAAAACAGCTAATCGAACGGTTTTCGAACTCCGGACACTGCATGCGTCATATTATGACGTAAGCCTGTAAGCCATACAGCTTCTCGGCAGAGAGTTTGACGGTTACCGTGACAGGGGGTAATATTTTTTCTAGTTGTCCCCCTCCTGGGAGGGGTGACACGGAAACTTGTTAAAGCGTCATTGACCAATGAAATTAAAGTATTTCACATGAAGGTAGATATGGTGTCTTCTGGTAGAAGTCATGGTTGCTATCTGTCAAAATAACTGTTTTGACTTTGAACACCACAGCCAAACTCGACAAAATCCTTATTGATTTTTTTATCACAGGGAATTAAAATTTCAGTGTAAAAACAGTGAAGGATCTTTTAACCAGGTCAATTAACATTTAATAATTTAAAAAAAAAATTGAATTTTTTGAAAAGTTTTGATAAAAATAATTTGTAAATAATTATATAGCCCAATCGCCAACGAGTGAAGGGTTGGTGTTAATCCAGCTAGGGCCCATGCAGGAAGCAAATGTACTGTAAGCCCCCATAGTCCCTAATTACCGACCAATTTCATTAACCAGCTGCAGCTGCGTTTGAAAAAGCATGGAACGCATGATAAATAATAATAAACAATAAATAGTTTGGTATTTGGATACCAATCATCTACTTACCAACATACAATGTTGTTTCCGTAAATTAGAAGGACCGTCTATCATTTAGTACGCTTAGAATCATTTGTAAAAATGTAATAACTAACAATAATTATGCATGTCTGTTTTATTTTGAAAAAACATATGACACAGCATGGAAATACGTCATTTTACATGGTTTTGGACATTGCCTCCAGAAATGGTCCTTGGAAAACGATTTTACATTTTCCAAATCTACACAGTCTGCATCCATTTTGTTTAGCAAACATAGACATGAAGACATAGACATAATACTCTCTCCATAGACGAAACATAGACGACACTCCTTGTTATAATGTTTTAAAAGCACTTGACCTTTCTGCCCCACATTAAATATTTAAAGAATAAATGCCTGAAGGCCCCTGATTTGCTGAAGGTTAACCTCTGTAACCTCTGTAACCTCTGTAAAGTGGAGAGGGGATCAGAAACACACACACACACACACACACACACACACACACACACACACACACATCCAACTGTACACAGCACTTATACGCTCCAAACTGGATTATGTAAAAGTCATTCGAAATTATTAGATAGCATTCACCATCAAAGCCTAAGGCTTTGCCTTGGAGCCTTCAGGACATCTGTGGGGCAATGGGGGTAGTCCAGCGGTTAAAGCGTTCGCTCGTCACGCTGAAGGCCCTGGTTCGTTTACCCACATTGGTGCAAGGTGTGAAGTCCATTTCCCGGTGTCCATCGCCGTGATATTGCTGGAATATTGCTAAAAGCGGCGTAAAATTAAACTCACTCACTCAGGACATCTGTCAATAGCCTGTATGTAGAGTCGAATAAAACTATCTTTACGATATCTCACCATACTTTATTTTAATCAAGCTAACCCTGCATATTACTGCGTTTTCAATCCTCTCTATGGTGACCTACCTTCAGTTGTTGGCAATCAATAGCCTGATATTTTTGTATATTGTGTTCTATTGTTAATTTTGTTAGACGTTCATGCTAGTTTTATATCTCTGTCTGTGATGTTCTATGTTGTTGTTTAACTGTTCTTCGTTGACAATATTTTGAATTAATGAATTTAGAACTTGCTTAGTAACAATATGGCTGAAGTACTGACACTATACAATACTAACACTCACTCACCTATGAGAGGATCTTGACAATTGTACTGTGTTCGTACCCAGAGATTTGTAAACGTTTATCTGTTTTGAGATTATTCTAAGTTTCGTTTGCAAAGAACTATTATAAGGTATAGGTTGTGTGCTTATTTCTGGTTATGCTACATCCTGACATGTCTGACAAACTGGCGGTCCTCGGAAATAAACACGAGACATAATCAATATATCGATTTCGACTTTATTACTCACAATAAAGTTGCACTATACTATACAAAGTATTAGCGAATCAATATGCGGTCGTGTATCGGTTGTATTGCAATGTGATATAGTTGACAGATATTATAGATGTAAAACTGAATTTGATGCGGAGGTTACATTGGAATTACGAAGGTCGTGTCTGATACGTTTCCATAAGAATTTCTTTGTTTCTTGTGCTATCGTGTCACCAGATTTCCTTGTCCATCCATCACTTGATAGTCTGGTTTGTTTAAAGGCCACCTTTGCATGGCAACAGTATTGCTGTATGGAGTCACACAACAAACGTTTACATTATGGCAACTACCAGTGGGGTAGGGCTCGCAGACTCTTTCGCGAACAACTGAGCATCCCTATTTCCAGTTCCACTCATTTTCACGTCTACTTTTGCCTCTTAGAACCCAATAGAATCTGTTTCGGAGGATAAACGACGGTGACATATTCTCTGGCACAGGTGGCAACAAACATTTATTTTTTTAGTAAGTGTCTTCTTCGCGAACAAAACTGATGACATCACTGATTCCCCGTTCCATTCATTTTCACTTCTATTTCTGTTCTTCGCAACATAATTTGTTTCGGCTGACATTCGAGAAGTTTATATATAGTGCCATCTATTGCTCATACATATTTTATGCCACAAACTTGTTAGATTAAAACTTGTTAAAACAAAAACAGCGTTTTGCCGAAAGACACGATGATTCACAATACACCCTTGAAGATCTAGATTAGAGTTGGTCCTCAGCAGCTCATGCTTGTCTCAAGAAGGGAAAAACGGGATCGAGGGGTCAGGTTCGCTGACATAGTTGACACACGTTATCGTATCCCAATTGCGTAGATCGATGCTCATGATGTTGATA